CCCTTCCCTTCCCTTCCCTTCCCCTCCCCTCCCCTCCTCTCCCTCCCATCCTCTCCCCTTCCCTCCTTTCCCCTCCCCTCACTCCCTCACTCTCTTTCTTTCTTTCTCCTTCCTTCCTTCCTTCCTTCCTTCCTTCCTTCCTTCCTTCCTTCCTTCCTTCCGACAAGATCTCATATCCCAGTCTGACCTTGAACTTGCTTGACCTACTTTTCCTCGCCTCTGCTCCTAGGCAAAAATCATGGGACCTGCCTGGATGTGCTCTCACTCATTATCAGGGCAGCATTCTTTCCTTCATATTCTACTGTAGTTTTTCATTCTTTGGCAAACACAACTGTCTTGACTCTGTGGAGCCAATCTTCATGTCATTCATATTGCTGCCAAGGGGAAGATAGAGGAGATAACAATACGGACAGGTCCACCTCTTCCCAGTCTGTATGTGCAGACAGGGTGAGCAGACTAGACCTTGGCTTGGCGATGCCCTGCACTACACTGTGGGGAATGGAACTGGGAAGGGCTGAATCTAGACATTAGTGTTGATGAAGGAGTGGAGAGAGACTGGGAAATAATCCAAAGGTAGATGGTGCAGCTGGCTTACAACTGACTCTGCCTGCATTCATATGTGGGGAAGGACTATTGTCCCTAACTGAACAGAACAGAACAGAACTTGTGACAGACCTGCCCCTTAGCAGAGCAAACTGGGTGGCAACACGAAGGACCAGAATGGGATTACTTACTTTTCCTAAAGAGCATGCTTTTCTTTTTTTGTCTATTGTGATATCTTGAATCTCTCTCTCTCTCTCTTTTTAAAATATTTATTTATACAATATTCTGTCTGTATGTATTTCTGCAGGCTAGAAGAGGGCACCAGACCCCATTACAGATGGTTGTGAGCCACCATGTGGTTGCTGGGAATTGAATTCAGGACCTTTGGAAGAGCGGGTAATGCTCTTAACCTCTGAGCCATCTCTCCAGCCTGAATCTCTCTTTTTTAAAGAGAGATTTATTTCCCACAATATCCCCAGAGCTGCTTTTAAAACGTTGATCAATTAAATAACCCACTTCTTTTCTGTTTTTAAATTATGTGTACTGATGAGTACAACTTGACATAAGCTAAACTAATTTGGGAAGAGGGACTCTCAAATGAGAATATGGCCCCATAGGATTGGTCTATATAGACAAGTTTGTAATGCCTTTTCTTAGTTATTGGTTGATGGTAGAGGGCCCAGCCCATTGTGGGTGGTGCCATTCTTGGGCTGCTGGTCCTGGGTTCTTTAACAAAGCAGGCTGAACCAGCCATGGAGAGCAAGCCAGTACGCGGCACCCCTCCATGGTATCTGCATCAGCTCCCCTGCTCGGTTCCTGCTCTGACCTCCCTAGATGATGGACGGACTCCAAGCTATAAGACATAATAAATCCTTTCTTTTCCAACTGGCTTTTGGTCATAGTATTATCACAGAAATAGAAACCTAACTAAGACACTATGCATTTTAAAAGATGTACTTATTTTATGTTATGCATATGAGCACTGTGCCTGAGCATATGCCCAGTGCCCACAGAGGCCAGAAAAGAACTGGGGCTGGAGTGTGAGTTTCCATATGGGTTGGTACTGGGGACCGAATCTGAGTCTTGTTTCCAACCCATTTTAAGGAGAAGGTCTCACACATCCTAGGCTTGCCCTGAACTTGCTATGTAATGACAGTATGACCCTGGACTTCTGATCTTCCTGCCTAAACCATGACACCTGGTTTAATGCCATGTTGGGGTTCTAGTCCAAGGCCCTTGTGCTGGTCAGTATCTTCCCAGCCCTGGACCTTCTACATCTTTTTGATATTGTTTGTTTGTTTTGTGTCTGTTGTTTTGTAATAGAGTCTTACTCATAGCTCTGGCCAACTCTCTGTAGACCAGGCTGGCCTTGAACTCACAGAGATCCTTCAGTCTCTGCTTCCCAAGTGCTGGGATTAGAGTTATGTATGCCACCATGCTTGGCTGATGTCCTCCATACTTCTGATGACTTCTCATCATCCATAGCTTACAGTGGATACAGGTCGATCAGGTCCACCAGAACTTACTGCTTGGATGAGGCCCCTCATACTTCTCTGGGCCTCTCCCCTCTCCACACCCTGCTCTCTCCGGCCACTCTGGGCCCCATGATTTCACTGTATGCTTACTCTCTTTCCCTAAAAACTTCCATGTCCATTTCAAGTCCCACGTAGCCCTCTGTTGGAAGCCCACCTCACTTTCTCCAGAAGCAGAGCAGCTCCCTGCATGGACCAAGGAGCTCAAACCCATCGCTCAAACATCTGCTGGGTCACTTGGGACTTTCAGATTCACACATTAGTTTCTGCTCTCCTTGTTCCTTAGACTAAAATTCCCCCAGGGTAATGACTTTGTTTTGATTCATTCTATGTTGCCAAGGTGTCCAATCTTAACAGAATAGGCTTAATGAATAGAAAACTAGAAAGTAAAAATTTTACTTTTTGTGTTAATTTGAGAACCTCTTATTCATATAAGGACCTTGACCTCCTTCCTGAAGAAAAGAGTTTGATGGAGAAGGTAAAAAAAATATATACCATGCACTCTCTTCTGTTGGGGATTGTTATTTCAACATTGTAAAGATGTATTACGTTTGTTTATGTTGTGGAATGTTACTTCAACTATGCAAAGGTGTGCTGCATTTGTTTATGTTGCACTGGTGTAATTAGGCAAGGGTGTTACAACTGTTTATGATGTATTTATTTAATCATGGAAATAGGTGTTGCTTTTGTTTTACTTTGCCTGCCTAAGGGACCTGATTGGCCCAATAGAAAGATGAATGACCAATAGCTGGGCAGAGGTGGGGCTGGTAGGGAGAGAGAATAAGTAGGAGGAGGACTCTAGGCTTGAGGGAGAAAGAGAGGGAGATGCCTGGGGTTAGTCAGCCAGGCAGCCACCAGCCAGAAACCAAGGAAGCAGTGAAAGTAGAATATACAGAACTAAATAAAGGTAAAAAGCCCCAAAGCAAAACACAGATGAAGAGAAACAGGTTAAAATAAGTAGCAAGAGCTAGTGAGACAAGTTTAAGATAAGGCTGAACATTCAAAACTAATAAGTCTCTGGGTTGTGATTTGGGAGATGGTTAGTGGCCCAACATGGAGTGCCAAATATATCAGGCTTTCTCTTGGGGCCAGTGTCCCCTACTCCAAGCCCACTCAGGAAAACAAACAAACAAACAAACAAACAAACCCGTGAAGACCGATCTACGATTGTGAAACATACAGATCCAGTTTAGAGCAGGCTTACCTTTTAACAGCTGGCAGTTGTATGTGCTCAGGTTCCCAACAGACCGCAAGTTTATCAACTCTCCTTTGGGGTTGCGGCTCTTACTTACGACTTCAAATACCTCATAGGGGGGGATCAAGACCTCCTTCCGGAAAGAGAAGTCTTGCAAAGAGGCACCCAGGCACGTAGCAATAGTAAACAGTGTCTGGCTTCCAGACTCCTGGGTCTCCTCCCTCAGCAGGGAGGCAGAGAGGAACTGGCCAAACCGAATGGTGGCACCCACACGGACTTCAAACGTCACGTTCTTCATCCGATGGTGCACCTCGTAGCACAGGTCACTGTTCTTTGTGGCTCTCTCTTCCCTCAGCAGCTGGATGGCTGTGGTGAGGAAGTAATGCAAATACTTGAAGTGGAATGACTGTTGGTACTGCCCGGGAGACCCCACAGCCTTGGCCATAGCTGTGGCAAAGTCAGAGCTCACATTGTGATTCAAGGTGTAGACCAAGATGGCCACACCATGTGTAGTGGTCATGCTCTCGGGGTGGGTGTCCTCTTGGCTCAACCAGGTTAAGTGGGCATTTTGCCAGGCTCTGGAGTAATACTTATGACTGCCTACTTCCTCAATGAAGTAGTCTCCGTGGCTTAGCTCCTCCATGACCTGTTTGCTACAGCCTTGGTATTGATCATCGAAAGAACCTGGTGTCAAGTCAAGGTCAACTTTGAGAGCAACCTGTAAGAGAAAGAAATCTTGATTTGTGTTATCCAAGCCAGATAGATGGAAATGAGGTCACAGATTTGTTGTGTCCTACAGCGTTTTACACGGGACAGTCAAGCCGTGTCTATTATAATGACCCCCATGCTATTCCTACCTGGTCTGGAATTATCGTTATTCATAAGAAGCACACAAAACTCAAAAGCTCATCTCGCCAGGAAGGAAGTGTTCTGTACTAGAGCTCACAGTGTTTCTATATTTTGAATTTGTTGAAGAAATAAGGCACTAACTGTATACTTTGATTTTACTTTCCACGTCCTTCAGAGAAGGACGTTAAGAGCTGGGTATGGTGGCTCTTGTTTATAAAACTAGCGCGTGGAAGGCTGAGGTAGGAGAACTGCTAAGAGTTGGAGGCCTGCCTGGGTACGTGGTGAGTTCAGGCCAGCCTGGGTTATAGTGTGGGACCCTGCCTTGATGAACGATTAGTAAAAACTCAGGGTCAGAAATTGGGGTTCAACGTAAAGATCCGAAGTGCAAAATAGCCAGCTATTTTACCTCAACCTCAGTCTGAAATGCCGATCCTGCCTCCAGGAATCTCAGAATGAGACTGTGTCTGAGAACTGTCTCTCCACTCCCCCCTCCCCCCATTTTATATTCCTTTCTAGGTTTAGGATTAAAGGCATGCACCACTGAGATTAAAGTGCAAGTCATTGTGGCTAAGGGGATTCAACGTGTGTTTTACCGTAACCTGGTCTGTAGGGCTGGCCAGTGGGACTGTTTTACTCTCAGATCTGCAGGCAGTCTTTATTTATTAAAATACAATTGAAATGCCACTACACTGCCTCAACCCAACCCAATCCAAACAAAACAACCATATATATATATATTTATATATTTATATATATATATATTTAACTTTATATCTTGCTGTGTACATGCATGTCCTTGGAGGTCAGAGGTCAATGCCACGGGTCCTCCTTTATTGCTTTCTACTCTGTGTTTTGAGATAAGTTCTCCCACTCAGCAGTTTAGCTGAGGGGTTAGCCAGTGATCTCTGGAGCTCTGGGGACCTACCTGTCTCCACACGCCTTTCCCACTGCTGGTGCGGGGATTACAGAACCCTTCCACCATGCCTGGATTTCATGTGCTTTTTAGGGACCCCCACTCAGACTGCCATGCTTGTGTGTCAAGCACTTTAACCCCGAGCCTTCTTTCCAGCCGCCCTATCTTAAATGTTTAAACTGTATCGAAGAAAAACCTTGAGCGATGAGTAGTGTTAGGTTCTCCATGGGAGACTCTGGTGAAAAAAGCAAACTTCTTGCTTACTTAGATTCTGAAGAAAAAAGGAAGACAACAAAAAGCAAACATGGGATCTAAAATATCCCCCTCCTTCCTCAATGAGGCCACGTGGGTGCAGGCAGCTCTGGGTCTGGTGGCAGGCTGACTTAAGAGTAAATTCCAGATCCAGTCAGACTGTCTCCACAATGGCTGGCAGCTCTGAAGGCTCTCAGATAATATCTTGTCCTGGGGGAAAAGCCCTCTTGTCATAGACTTAAGGTTAACCAAGCCCCAGCGTGGAGAGCAGAGCTGACTCCCTGTGTGCAGTTTTTCTTCCAAATCTTCTCAAGAAAGCACTGTTCCCAGGGGAGCCGGGGGAGCCGAGAGTGGGGCAGTGCCTAGGCGAGCCTGTCCTCTCGGTAGTGAGGGGACAGCACACTCCTTTGTGGCGGGGTGTTGGGGGGAACACTTGAGCACTGTCTAGGGAGCACTGAAATGAAGCTAGCGGCTCCCTGGGTTCCATGGGCTCACTATTGAGAACCTTACCTGAATTACCCAATTCAAACCTAGGCTTACGTCTCAGCAAAGCAATGTTAGCTTTTCTCACTAACGGAATGCGTCAAGGGCAAGATTCTGTCCAAGGTCAGTGCTGGTGGGGGTGGAGCTAGAAAGCACACGCTGTGGTATTTTAAGTGTGTGAGTTATGATGACAGGCTGTCTAGTTGCATATAATCTCGGTCCAGTTTTTAAGACCGATCGAATGATGTTAGGCAGTACATAAGATTTTAAAACAAGCTTCCATTAACCCCCCAAGCATCATATTCTGTCAAATATTACCATGTCACCAGATCTCAGGTATTTCCCTGTACCGTTTATCAATAGCTCATTTTCAGTATCTAGATCTTAAGTTAGAATACTCAAAACTTGTGCTGTTCCTACAAAGTTGTTTCGAGTCAAATAGGCTTATTTCACATGATTTGTCCCTTGGAAACAGTTATTTTAATACTTAAAAAGAATCAGGAAAATAGCTCGATGCCAGATCATCAATTATATATAAAAAAAAACCACCTTTTTTTTTTAAAAATAGCAATTGTTTCCCTCAGTCTTCACTGAGATCCTTTGCTCTTGGATTGTGGTGTCTAAGTTTTTATCACCGAGGTGGCCACCAGGTATATGTCCATCCTAGTGGTGCGTAGGTCGCACAGATCACCGAGAGATCCCCTTTTCCATTGCCCCTACCTCAGTGCTCCCCGCGGGGGTCTGCAAGGCACAGAGCGACAGCAGCAGCCACAGCTGTGTGACCTGTTCTCCTGGCAGCCACAGCTTCATCCTCCTGTCCTCTGTACGTGGTAGAAGTGTCCTCTTGGATCTACTGGTCAGTGGGCAGCAGTGGCACTTTGGGTCAGAAGCGCGTCGTTGCCCTGAAAGCCGCAATCCGGAGTGAGCTCTAGAGTCCTCCTCTTGGCCTTTTCTATCTGGGCTGTGTCTGAGGTTCTGCTCCTGTCGCGGCAGCTGCGACTTCGGTTGAGCATCAACAACCGACAGCTTCCTCCAGCTCCTTTGTAAAGTTGAAGTCTCTGAAAGAGCTAGACACGCACGGCACACAGAGATTGTCGAGCCGAATCAGTTTCAAATTTTAAGAAGGTAAAGCCCTTCTCCCTATCTAGTCAGCGTTCTGGGAAATGCCAAGGGTCTGCTCAGGGTCAGGCGCTGCAGTTCAGCCTTGGCTTTCCCAGAACGCAGGAAAAAGCATGCTCATTAGTGCTTGAAGCCAAGTCCCATTATCTGGAGCCCCAGGCTTTCATTGTGAGCCATACCAGAGGCATGCGGAGCACAGCTGGGGAGATGCAATCTTAAGGTGGGCCTGTGTCAGGCTCGTCTGGTGCAGCAGATAGCCCTGCCCTGCACGGCCCTCCACAGGCAGCTCACACTTTAAATGTATACTTTCGCTGCTCTTCCACAGTGCCTTTGAAACATGCCCATCCGGAGATAGTGACTGTTGGGTTCAGAGTTTTGAACATTTGTTTCTTCTGAGACCTTCAGGTCCTCCATCCGTGATTCTGTGATTAATCCCACACACAGGATTCAAGTCAGCACTTCCACCGTTAGACACTTCCTGCTAAACTCTGAATTCCCGTCCACTCTCCTCCTGACCTGTCAGATGCTGCTAACTCACAGATGTTTGCTATTTATGTTTCCTGCCTCTTATCTCACGATGAAGAGAAACCAAATCCTCTTCTTGGAAATCCTGGTCTCGCTTGCGTTTTTGCAGCTTTAAAGAATGCCCATCCAAAGTCTCCGAAAACCATGGCAGTTCTTCCTCAACAGAAGCTCGGGATATATATGGAAGCCTAAGAGAGGAAACACAAGTTATCCTTATCCTTCAAGCACAAGTTATTGCTCGGAGAAGCCACTGTTCTGATTTAAATTTTGGCTTTATACCCCCCACACACATGCACACACACCACAGCAGAAATGAAGCCACAAGACTTTGTGTACTGTTTCTCCTTAACATTTATTTATTTGTTTTGTTGTGTGTGTGTGTGTGTGTGTGTTTGTGTGTACAACTTGAGTATATTCCTCCACCTTAGGTTTTGACCCAGGCTTTCACTGAGCCTGGAGCTCACACATCTGGGCATACAGGCGGGGGGAGCCTCCCGGCTCTGCCTCCCCAGCCCTGGGATTGCCGGCCTTCACTGTGCCCTTTTTTGTGCCGCTTGTCTTATGAGTTCTAAGGTCCTCACGCTCAGGTCCTCAGGCTTGTGGGGCAAGGGCACTGCCAGCCGCGCCATCTTTCTAGCCCTATTGATTAATTTTTCCAGAGATCTTTGTTTTTGAGACAAGGTCTCATGTAACCCAGGCTGGCTTTGAACTCACAATGGAATCGAGGGTGATCCTCATCTTTCGCTCACCTCTCCTTCCTGGGTATGGGGATAGCAGAATGAGCCATCGTAAACCTGTTTATATTGTACTGGGGAGCAAATCCAGGGCCTTATGCTAGGAAAACTTAGCTACATCACAGCCATCACCTTAACATTTTACGGGAGACATGTCCCTCATAATTTAGTATTTATCGAAAGTGTGTGTAGCTCAAACTTGCCTTGAATTCTTTTTTTTTTTTTTAAGACAGGGTTTCTCTATGTAGACTTGGAGCCTGTCCTGGAACTAGCTCTTGTAGGCCAGACTGGCCTTGAACTCACGGAGATCCTCCCGCCTCTGTGCCCGAGTGCTGGGATTAAAGGCGTGTGCCACCACTGTTCAGCTTGCCTTGAATTCTTGATCCTCTGCCCTCTGACTCAGGAGTCCTGGGATTACAGGTGTGTACCACAGCTCTGAGCTTAAGATAAAGTCATGTTTATTGTTTTCCACTACTTCCTAAGAAGTCACAAAATTATTTTGCTGCTGACAATCAGAATGCATAGATGGAGACATTAAAACTAGAGAAAATTGGGCAAGGGTAAGTATAAAAGAATATATCACTAAGAGGTGAATTTAGCCACTTATTGACTTTTAAAATAACTTCAAACAAGGCATATTTTACTTTATAATTCTTCCTTTCTCTCTCTCTATCCCTCTTTCTTTCTTCCTTTCTTTCTATCCCTCTTTCTTTCTTCCTTTCTTAATTTTTCCTTCCTCCCTTCCTTCTCTCCCCCTCTCTCTTTCTCTGTGTGTGTGGAGGGGGGCGGGCGGAGAGATTAACTCTGTAGCCTTAGCTCTCCTGGAACATTACTGACTGGCCTCAAAGTTACAGAGATGCACCTGCCTCTGTTTCCCGAGGGCTTTGATTGACGGTATTTGCTACCACAGCCAGCTACTCTGTAAGCTTTAAACTTACCTTTTTATATTACAACCATTTTCAACTGCCAAGGAATTTTGAGTCATGCAGTGAAGGCTGTGTGCTTTGTCCCTGCCTGTTTTTTTTTCCAGTAGCTCTGTCTCATGAACCACGACACAGTTTTAAAGCCGGGAAACAAACGCTGGTAGGCTGTGTGTAGTTCTGAGGCATTTCATCACGTGTGCAGCCTTGAGGAGCCACAGCCTCTAGCGACGTCAAACTAGGGACTGGACAGATGGCTCGGTGGGTAAGAGCTCTTGCTGTTTCCACAGGGGACCTGGGCTTGGTTCCTAACATCCACATGGCAGTTCACGGTGACCTGCAATTCCAGCGACAGGGGATCCTACACCCTCCTCCAGCCTCCACAGGCAGAAGGCACACACGTGGTGCAGACGTAGGTGCAGGCAAGACTCCCATACAAAACAAACAGACTATGAGAGGAGTAAAGCTAGGTGTCATTCTAAAGCCCTCCCTGATGACCTTGTGACCTGGGAATCACACCTTCCCTCCCCCCCCCCCCCCCCATCTCTAACTCTAGAAGGGTGCCCAGTCTTCCCATCCGGGCAGCTTTGTCACACGAAGGCTATGGATAAATAGATCATACACGGTGTCATTTTAACTTTCCCCACTTAGCATAGTGCCCTTGACGTTACTGTGCAGGATTTATGTGTTGTGGTTGCACAATAACCCTTCACTATGGTGCTCTCACTAATGGACCACGGCGTGCTCCATCTCAAGAAGACCCCGCCCGCTCTGTGGTTCTGTTTAATGCTGCTCATTGTTACTTCCTGAGCACCCGACTTTGGACCAGCTCCTCAGCATCTCTGTTGCTCAAATTCCTGGTGGGTTCAATTGGGGGGTAAATTGGGTCCTGGGGAGCTGTAAGACTTTAAGACAATCCTGAAGCCATTTTTGACAATTCTGAATCCTCTCAGCCTCTGTACCATAGTGCTTCCCCTCCTCCCCTGGGAACCAAGGATCTAACAGCTACACTCGCACGTACTCAGTTCCTGAACAATTACCCATATACGTATGTTTTGGTTCAGTCCCCTGGGAAACGGGGTCAAAATGACCTCTTACCTCATCTGATCAGGCAACAGCTCTCCAGTCAATTATTGGTAATAGCCCTTTCGAATAAGCCAATCAGAATAGTCAAAGAACAACCCCCCCTTGCTTCTGTGGCCCCTTTAAAAGTAGACTGTACCAGCTATTCGAGGTCTCTCAGCTTCCCGAATGCTGAGGGACCCTGTCATGACAGAATTAATAAAATCCTCATGCTTTTGCATCGGCTGTGGTGTGTGAGATGGTGTCTGGGGGTGACTCCTCCTCGGTGTTTGGACGCTAGAGTCCAACAGGGCCTCTCTGAAGTAAACCTAGAGTGTTCGAGGAATGCAAACAATTGCTATCTCCAGCGCCAGACTTTACAGTGCACCATTGAGCTTATTTTAAATTTTGTGCGATTTCTACTAACTCTTGGATGTGGCTTCGGCATAAGTCTGGTGTGTGTTTCTTACAGTTTTGAAGACACGATCCAGAGAACTGAGCGTTGAGGCGCGAATGTGTATTTCCAGATTTAGTAGCAAGTGCCGGCAGTGTCTGAAAATAGCCCCTTACGATGTTTGAGACTCTTTAAGATTCCCCACTGTCAGCTGCATGAGGATACTGAGGCAGGGAGAGCTACAGTTAGGATCTGACCTTTGGGCTGTGGCTCCCGAGCCACTCAGAGCGCTGGCTGAACCAGCTTTAAAGTCAGTGATCCATGCTGGGCCTCGGCTTACTGGAGACTTGGGAAGTTTAACAAAGGAGTTATAGTCCTACTTTATTGAGAGGGTGCTGTGTTTTGAGTCTATTTTGATTATGATTTTTTTTTTAAAACAGGGTTTCTCTGTGTAACAGCCCCACCTGTCCTGGAACTAGCTCTTGTAGACCAGGCTGACCTCGAACTCACAGAGATCCGGCTGCCTCTGTCTCCCAAGTGCTGGGATTAAAGACGTGTGCACCACCACTGCGCAGATTGTTATGATTTTGTTTGTTCTCTCTGCCTACAAGAGAGCCTTAAGAAGAGATTTTAAGAAATATTTATTTATTTAAATTTGAATATTTTATTTATTGTTTTTATAAATATTTTTACCTTCCTGTATGTCTGTTTGCCATGTGTGTGCCTGGTCCCTGTGACGGTCAGAAGAGGGCATCAGATCCTCTGGGACAGGAGTTACAGGCATATGTGAGTCACTGTGTGGGTGTGGAGAATCGAACTCAGTTTCCCTGCAAGACCAGCCAGAGCTCTTAACCACAGAACCATCTCTCTAGCTTCCAATTTATTTATTTATCTTTGCATGCCTGCTTGAGTTTACATACACCGTGTGTGCATGTGCCCCTGGAGGTCAGCAGGTGGCAGAGGGTCCCCTGGAACTGGGCTTAGGTATGGGCGGCTGTGATGGGGGTGCTGGACCCTGGACACGGGTCCTTTGCAAGAGGTTAAGTGCTCTTTACCTCTGAGCTACCTCCCCAGGCCTAGAAAGGGTTTCATAACTGTCTCTCTGCAGATGTGACTGGGCTGCTGAGTTGAGGCTTTGGGAAGTTGAACGCCTTACTTACTTTTCTCTCCTTCACAGTTCGCTGTCTCCCCAAAGTCTAAATGACTGTGTCATTTTAAAATTATTGTCTGGGAAGTTTTTTTGTGTGCACGCCAGTTCTAGAGTATGATCACTAGAGGGCAGCAGAAACTTTGCCATCATTTTAAGGGGACCCGCGGGCGTGTGTGTGTGTGTGTGTGTGTGTGTGTGTGTGTGTGTGTGTGTGTGTGTGTGTTGGGGGAGGTAAAGGAAAAGGAAGTGTTTTTATTGTGATTTTCAGACATTGCACGAAGTAGTTTCGTCACTAGAGGGTCTTTCTTGTCTGGCGTCGGGGAGAACTGTGTGGTGTCTCACGATTCTCCGCAGTTCCTGTTGAGATCCTGAACTCTCCAGTGTGTCATGGCAGCTTTTAATTTTATTGCTAGAAGTCCATGCTGTTCCCAGAAAAGCAGGTTGGTAGAGGCCCTGCAATTTGACAGGCAGGATTTTTTGAGCTATTTGTATTAACTTCTCAGTTCTCATTTGCCGTCAATACCTTTAGGAAGAGTAAAACCGGAAGCTACTGATGTAACTGCGGATCCACGCTCAACCTGTTGAGAATGCATCCGGTGCTGATTCTGTTTCCTCCAACACC